TGACTTAAAAGCAATCAACAACAATAACTAATAGATACCAGAATCTTCCCACTATTCTTAGCCTGTGAACTTAATCTTACTATTTCCAGGCAACATTCCTTAACATCAACTTCTCAGGATTCATGAGAATATTTTTGACACTAGATTCTCTATGATGCACCAACAGCTATTATTTATGACTTCTGGTATGGTCTTTTAACCAGTTTTTCATACCCGCTTTTACTGCTATCTACATTTTATATCATATACTCTGCCAATTGATCTTTCCTTCCCACCTGTGATCAGTCTAGAACTATGCCCCAGATTTTTTTCAAGTGACTCTGGCTCTCTAGAGTCAGAAGACTCAAACTCATAGCCTTCCAGTCAGAACAGATTCCTCCCTAATCTTCCAGCAGATTTTCCACAGGCTGTAAATCGCACAAGAAGAGATCCATCATTCTTTCATGGAGCTGGCAGATTTAAATCACCAGAAAAGTACTACGTTTGGATTAAGATGACTTCAAGCTCTCTAGTGATGACAAAAGTTTGACTACGGTGTCTATCTGCTTAATTTGTTCTCTCTTGAACAGAAAGTGGTAAGAGGAGAGTTTGAGGGACTGAGTTATTTATTCTCAACTTCAAATTTATGAAAAGAAGTTGTAAAAAAATGTATGTGTAGGAATGATGTGGACAAACACAGTAAAGATCCAAAAGCAAACTTTGTCCCAAGATTCAGGTTGAAGGGGTCCCAGAAGGCCAGTTTACAGGAGGAGTAGGGTTTCATAGCTGCTTCAGAAACTAAATGCACTTAGGGAATAAGGAGCAGTTGTCTGAGTCTGTGTTTTGGATTGAGTTAGTTTGGAGGTGTTATTGTCCAATAGGAATACAATGTTAGCAATATATAGAACCCTGTGTACAATAGAGCACATGTAGACTAGCAGATATGACAATTGAAGCTGAGCCCTCAAATATGGAAGCACGAAGGAGGAGGAATAGTTCTAAGCAGACACTAGTGATTGAAATGTGAAATGTGAGAAGCATGACTATGTAGGAAAATGGGACATTGCCAAGAAAGAAATGGAGCACATAAATATTGATATACTAGGTATTGGCAAAATAAGATTGACCAGTATGGGGTATTTTGAATCAGGTAATCATATGATTCAATATGCCAGAGATGAAAAAGGTGAGAAAAAGTGGCATTGCTTTCATAGCTAAAAAGTCATTTCTAGATGCATCTTGAAATACAATGTTGTGAGTGCGCTCGCCCCTCCCTTTCCCTTTCCGCCATCTTTCCGTGCTGCCACAATGGTGCGCATGAACGTCCTGGCCGACGCTCTCAAGAGCATCAACAATGCCGAGAAGAGAGGCAAGCGCCAGGTTCTCATCAGGCCGTGCTCCAAAGTCATCGTGCGGTTCCTGACCGTGATGATGAAGCATGGCTACATTGGCGAATTTGAAATCATTGATGATCACAGAGCGGGGAAAATTGTTGTCAACCTCACAGGCAGGTTAAACAAGTGTGGCGTTATCAGCCCCAGATTTGATGTGCAGCTCAAAGATCTAGAAAAGTGGCAGAATAATCTGCTCCCGTCCCGTCAGTTTGGTTTCATTGTATTGACAACCTCAGCTGGCATCATGGACCACAAGGAAGCAAGACGAAAACACACAGGAGGAAAAATCCTGGGATTCTTTTTCTAGAGATGTAATAAACAGTGCAAATAAAAAAAAATGTTGTGAGTGACAGGATAATATTCATACACAATACAATACTTGATTGTGTTTATGTGAAACCTATACTTGGACCAGGAGGTAGTCATCAGAATAGTGCAAGAAAACACTGCATAGTCCACATCAGAAAAGGTGTACACTAGGGACACATCTTACCTCCACACCTTTTAAGCTATATGTGGAAGAGATCATTCGGGAAGCTGGATTCTGTAAGGAAGAATCAAGATTGAAGGAAGACTAATCAACAATCTGCATTATGCGGATGACACAAGCTTTCTTGCAAAAACTGAGGAGAATCTGAGGCATTTGCTGCAGAAGGTCAAGAACTGCAGCCTTCAATATGGATTGAAGCTCAACATCAAGAAAACAAAGATCCTTACTACTGGGCTGATTGACAGGATCATGACAGATGAAGAGATTGAGATTTTTAACAGCTTTAGTTTGCTTGACTCCACAATCAACACTCTTGGTATAAATAGACTGAAAATCAAAAGATTAATTGCATTGGGAAAATTTGATGTCAGAGACCTCTCCAGAGTACTGAAGAGCAACAATATCAGTCTGGAGATTAAGGTGCACCTGCTTCAGGCCGTAGTCTTTGCAATTACTTGCTATGGATCACAGGGCTGGGCAATGACTAAGAATTAATTAATTAATTAATTAATTAATTAATTAATTAATTAAAGGGAATTTATGCCTTTGAGTTGTGGTGCTGGAGAAGAGTATTGGATATATTATGGACTGCTAGGAGAACAAATGGATTTGTCCTAGAGAGGATAAAATCAGTCTGCTCCTTGGAGGCAAGGATTCCAAAGCTCTGTCTGATATACTCTGGGCATGTTGCAAGGAGGGATCAGTTCTTGGAGATGGACATCATGCTTAGAAGGATGGAGGAACAGCACAAGAGAAAAAGACCTTGAAAGATGATTTGACTCAGTGACTCCGATAAGATAATGCGATAGGTGTGTCAGAGACAAAGAAGTTGGTTCGAGATAGAGCAAAGTTCAAGGCTTTTGTACATAGAGTCCCTGTGAGTCATCACAAGTGACTCTATGGCACATAAGAACAACATATCTTTAAACTCTCTAATAGCCTCATTTTTAAGGTGGGAAAAGAAATTACATTTTAAGACACACACACATTATCATTTCAACATCTAATTAATGGAAAAAACTTCACATTCTGTGTTGTTTTAGTATCAAATCTTCAAATTACTCAGTACACATCTTAGATTTTAAAATAGCTCAATTCAGATGCTAAATTTGAAACAGAAATACTTTCTGTTCAATTGTTGTTGTGTGCCATAAAATCACAACCAATGGTTTTTCCAGCGGTTTTTTTTTTTGGAGGTAGTAAATCTCACAAGAAGAGACTGCTCAGCCTTCTTCCATTGAGCAGGAGATGGATTTGAATCATGTGCCTTTAGGGCTGCAGCATAGCTTTTTATCACTAGGCCACCAGAGCTCCCTTAAATGTTGAACTCAATTATACAAAGCTTACATTTGAAAAGAATGATTCATGTATGTACCCACATTGTCTCAACTTATTTTAAAAGTTTTCCAGTAGCTGAACCAAGCATTCATTTTTAAGTTTAAAAATTCAAATTCTCAGTTTCATTCAACATATTTTAAAATACTCAATTTTAAAAAAATACTATGTAACTTGGTAGAGGATGGAGAGCACTATGCTGAGTGAACTAACACACTCTTATAAGGACAAATACTGAGTAAGATCATTATAGTAAAAATAAGAGTAACTGTTGATATCCATTTGCCAGCAAAGAACAGCAACACCCTTATGGAGGTAAGCATGACAGAGATGAATCACTCTGGGAGCCATTCAGGGAGTTGATTCAGCTCAACTTTACTGGGAGTAGTCTGCATGAGGCTGAGGTTCTCCTATTCAAGCCACATGTCCCACATCTGTAAGCCCACCCTATCCTGCTTTCCGGTATACTTGCTCATTAAAAAATGTAAAAAAATCATTATATAAGAATGTATATAAATGACTATAAAACAAAATATACATAGTGAAACACAATGTATATGAGTAATTATACTAAAACCTATAAAAATAATTTCATACACTTAAAAAAATTAAAAAATATTCAATAGCAGCATATGGTTAGTGGCTACTGTATAGACAACAAAGCTTGAATCAGCTGGTAATTTTATGTAAATAAATTAAATAATCTTATCAGATTTCTACTGGGGGGAGGGGCAATCCCTGAAAAAAGCCATCTTGCTAAGAAAGGCCAGAAGAATAGAGAAAGACCCTCAATGAGATAGATTGACACAGTGACTCCAACAAGGGACTCAAGAATGGCAGAGAGCATTGTGAGGATGGTGCAGGTCAAGGGAAGGGTTTGTGTTCTCATCTGTTGTTCACAGGTGACCAATGAGTGGAAGTTGACTCCACAGCGCCTAACAACAACAACAACACAAATACAATAACCAGTACAGTACAGTGCAGTCAAATTAATTTGGCTGCAATAATTTCAACACCTTCTCATATCTAAGTGGCATATCCAAGTAAGAGGAAAAATCCTTACTACTACTAAAAAATAAAAAAAGAAAAGAAAAATTGGTAACTAGATAAATGTCCTGAGTCTGACACAGTGACATTTAGTAATCAGCATATTCCACAGCCATAGAGTCTTTTCAGGGACTACAGGGAGTGACCTGACAGATTGCCCTATAGGGTTTTTCAAAGCTGTAATCTTTATAGAAGTAGACTGCCATATCCCTGCAGATCAACTGAATTGGTGGATTTGAATAATTAACCTTAACCACTGAGCCACCAGGCTTCTCATTATAGTATTGTTATGTTGTTATGTACCACCGAGTTGGAAATGACCATAATTGACTCTCCAGTAAACCGTATAAACAGCCCTTACTACAAGAAAAAACTGAATTGTGATGAGGTAAAAGGAACCAGATCAATAGATTCAAACACACTCACTCAGTGCTCTTGGCTGTCTCCTGGCTGAACCTTCCAGTGGGTTTTCAGAGACTATAACTACATGAGAAGAGATTGCTTCTCTTTCTCCTAAGGAGCTGCCAATAGTAAGTGCACATCCTTTGGGTTAGCAGTACAACTCCCTATGGACTACACTAGCATAGATCATCAGACAAATACCCATTTTTTTTCTAACATTCACAGTCATAGTAAAATGCCAGGTAAACACTGTCCATTTCCAAATTTGCTTAAATCAATACTTAGAATGTTATATAGAAACTTCTCGAATAAGACATTTAGAATAACAAGTTTAACAGAAATTGAATCCTTACAACAGCAAAATGCAGAATTTCATCTTCGTTCAGCTCGTTTTTCAATTTTCTAAATAAACTTTGCATTGCTTTGCAAGGACCACACCAAGCTTGGTAGACGTCAATCACTAGAAGATGATAATATTTTGTGAAAGAATAAGGAACATACAATAGCAGTTTATTCCAACTCTGGGGCAGAGGAGGGCGAAGAAGTAAGTAGTAGGCTTACAGAGCGTGGAATGACCCTCACCCTCGCTGGGCTCTTCATGGTGTGACACAGGGATGCTCTATACCTGTCAAGCCTTTGTTCAGCAACATCTCATCCCACAAGGTTTGACTATTAATGATGGTCTGCAAAAGGGGAGGCATGGTCAAAGCTCTTCACATACTAGTGCACTAAGTAAATAATAGTTGATGTGCCATCCCTACCTGTAACTGGATTTCTCCTCTCTTTTTGCTTGCCATTTATCTGTTCTATGAAAAAGGAAAGTCGAAAACATATCACACTAAATGTAAATCATGTACTTCCATTTTTGCATTCAAACAAAATTTAAACATACCAAAGACATTTCCCTTCACAAACCATTACATGATGCCCTTTAACCTCCTCGGAGAAAAGTGCCTCAAGATACGTGGACAGTTGCATGGTGGGAACTGTGCTTGGCAAGGTTATCAGTCTATGTTGTTTCTCTAAAAGCCTGAAGTAAAATATGAATATCATTAGCTGACGGTGCGTTGTTGTTTTCTAAATGGTTTTGTTGATTCATGAAGTATTCTCTATATTTTACTAACATTTTGTTTATGAAAATGCTTATAGATTTTTCTTCAGTCTTTCTTAAGATCTTCTCACTCATACAATATTTCATTTTTTTAAAAATTTATTATTTTTGTGTGTGTGTACCGTCAAATCAGATCTGACTGGTACAGGAGGAGACTGTCCCTCCTTCCCCGGCAGAGCATCTGGTGGATTCGAACCGTGTGCCTCTGGGATTGCAGTGCAGCTTCTTGCCACTAGGCCACCAGAGCTCCCCACGATATTTCATTTTTAAAGCAAGATATGTTCTAGAGAATAACATAAACATTTCAATGTTAATAAGCCGGAGAAGCCAGCATTTCCTATTTCCTGACATGAGGGAGGGGTGAACATGCATAACTATATTGGACTGAATGTAGTAAAATGGCACTGGATTCTCCAATAAACTTCACGTGAAACAGGGCCTCTTCTCAGTTACCTGGGGACAGTTAAAGAACAGGAACTACAAACCTCTTCTCTGGCCGCATTTGAGGTGAACTCCCAAAGGGTACATACCTCGGATGGCCAGGGTCCAGTAACATGGGTGGTGGGACTTTCCCCTAGGACTGGACCAGATAAAAGAGGAGCCTGAGGAAGGAAGAGCCCGGGAGACTGAGGAGGAGTCAACGTTTCCCACACAGTGAACTGCCAAGCCCTCGAGACCCCTCCCACTCCAACTCCCGTCTCACCCCTCACTTGTGGGAGGAGCTCGAGGACCCCACAGACTAGCCAGGAGGTCCACGTGGGAAGAGGTATAAAGCAAGTGGTCCTAAAACGGGCCCACTCTTTCCCATGCATGCTGTTGTTGTTGTTGTTGTTACGTGCCGTCGAGCTGCTTGCGCATAGCTACCCTAGGTACAACAGTCCTAAACTCTGCTCTGTCCTGTGCCAATCGCACCGTCTCTGACACACCCATCTCAATTACCCCAGTCACTGAATCAATCCACCGCAAAGAGGGCCTTCCCCTCCTGCGCTGTGCCTCCATCCTCCCAAGCATGATGTCCCTCTCCAAGGACCTGTCTCTACTTAATGTACAAAGTATGTTAGACGGAGCCTCAGAATCCTTGCCTCCAAGGAGCCTCCCGGTTTAACCTTTTCCAGGATGAATCTGTTTGTTTTCCTAGCAGTGCATGGTACCCTCAATACTCTTCTCCAGCACCACAGCTCAAAGGCATCAATTCTCCTTCTATCCTCCTTAGTCCTTGTCCAACTCTCTGATGCATAACAAGTGATTGCGAAGACCATGGCCTCTATCAGACACACCTTAGTCTCCAGACCATTGCTCTTCAGTACTTTGAAGAGTCCCTAACAGCAGACTTTCCTATGTCAATATGTCTTTTCATTTCCTGGCTACTGATGCCAAGAGTATTGATTGTGGAGCCAAGCAAACTAAAGCTATGAACAATCTCAATCTCTTCACCATCCATCCTGATGCTGCCAGTTGGTCCAGTGGTGAGGATCTTTGTCTTCTTGACATTGAGCCTCAATCCATATTGGGGGCTGCAGTTCATGATCCTCTGCAGCAAGCGCTTCACGTCCTCCTCAGTTTCAGCAAGCAGGGTTGTGTCATCGAGCGCAGATTGTTGATAGATCTTCCACCAATCCTGATGCCGCATTTCTCCTCATAGAGCCCAGCCTCCCGGATAATCTGTTCTGCATACAGATTGAGAAGGTATGGACACAGGACACATCCCTGGCTTATGCCCTTCCCAATTTTGAACAAGGCAGTGTTTCCTTGCCCTGTTCTGACCACTGCCTCTTGGTCCAAGTATAGGTTTCTCATTGGCATGATCAAGTTTTCTGGGATTCCCACCTCCTCTAGTCCACCATACAAACTTCCTCTTCATTTCCCCTTTTAAAACCATAACCTCCCTCAGCCTCAGGGTTTAAGGGAGTATCTGACTAGATTGCTCATCTGCTTTGAATTGGTTCTTGGAGAGTAGTTTTTAAAAGGATGACCGTATATTTTTTAAATTAGAGCTGAGGGCTGGCATCCTGCCATATCTCCTCAATTTCACCTTTACATCGACCCCCTTTATACCTTGAGCCATAGAGTTTATATTACTTTTATAATTTAGAAACAATGTTAACAGTACTTTTTAAACATTAGATTTTTAAAAAATGTATGTTGACTTTAATCTAGTTCTCCCAAAATTTCTCATCTCTCAAGTAAGGTAGTAGAGTGATTGATTAAAACCAGAAAATTAGCACTGACAAAATGCTGAACTGTTCTACAGACGTCATGCAAATCTTTTGTTTTCCCATTAACATTTTTTTCTGATTCTGGTCCCAATTCAGGATACTGTATCACATTTAGTTACCACTCCTTCTTTATCTTCACTAATTTGAGGTCTATTCTTCTGTGCTATCATTTTTGTTTTTCATGTCTTGAAAGTTTGAAATTCCTTGATTATGTTATTTGTACAATTTATATTTAAAAATCTTTTCTTTGATGTAACTATTTTCACTTTTCTGATATTACTCTATTCAACATCTTTTTTTTTATTCCTCTATTTTTTCTAAATCCTGTGATCATTACTGCTCCCATTTTAACAAATGGGTCTGCTGCCTCCTTCATGGAGATGCCCATCTTTTTACCATTTCTAATTTTGACCGCATTCCTCAGCAGCAGCGATGAACCTGGCTAGAACTGCTGTGGCAGGACCAGGGACATGCACTTGATCAGAATGCAGAGAATTAGATCAGCTTTATGTTAATTTCTCAATTCAGACTTCCTACTTCACATGTACAGTTGAAAACTCAGACTTAGATCATCCTGGGACCTGCATATTTCACTTTTTGTTCACAAAGAATTAGCTTTCTCTTTTCTCCCACTAAGCCAGTTGGGTGGGTGGGGAAGCTGGGGTGGTTTTCTGATTCCCCTTTATAACTGGAGGAACCTATCTTCCCCCTCATCCTAACCATGAGTATACCGTGAGTTTCAGCTAACTGTAAATGTTGGAGTTTGAGTCCTGGACTTCCAACTCTATGGTTTATGACTCATAAGGATATAGATAGTGGAATTTCAGTCCTATTTATTAAGATTTACTTTTCACCTAACTAACTCTAGTGAATTGGTTTGATTAACACTCACATGATTACCTGCTTTGTGTTTCTCGTCTAAGAAATTTGAGATACACCTCATCTCTCTCTGTGCACATCACTGACCCACTTCGGCTGGAAGTCAATCTTTTGTGTCTCAAGCTTCAAAGCCTATTAATTTTGCTTAAAAGAAACACGTCATCACACTACAGCAAAATTAATGCTGGGTGGCGAGAGAATGGGAAGGCAAGATCTTCAGTTGAAAGATTACCTTAAGTTTTTTGTAGCTGTTTCTCCCCACTTAAAGATTTACCTCACCATCAAATAAAGTTTAAAAAAGAGAGAGAGAGAGAGAGAGAGAGAAACTTTCCTCAACTTATTAGCTTCCTGAAGGAGTTAAAGAAGACCGGAAGTAGGGCAACCAGAAAATTAACTCCCTCAGTGGTATTACTAATCACCGTGCACTGCATCCCCACACTATCTTCATAATGTTCATTCTCTTCAGCAAGATGCCAGGTTTAATTAGTTATAAGTGGTTGGATTAATTTTGATTCAAAATAAAGTTATAAAGTAGTTGGATTAACAATCTTTTGTGTCCATTTTTTAAGGTAGAAATCTCTTATACTAGGGAGCTCCAGTGTCTTATTGATTGTGCTGCTAACCCAAAGATGCATGACTCGAATCCACCACTGCGGGAGAAAAGTGAGCAGTAACTCCCATGAGTTGTACTGTGTCTCAAAACCTGCTGAAAGGGCAGTTCTGTGGGTCAGTTATGAATCAATAGTATACAACAACAACAGCAAAACCAGTTATAACTACAAAACAGTTATAATTTATGCAATTCTGTTATAAACAATTTCATGGATCCTTTTGTTCTACAAAGGTGGCAACTTTGCTACCCTTTGACTATATCACTGATTCCCTGGAGAAAGAAAATAATGCACAATTAAACTCTTACTACTGAGAAGGACCTGAAA